GAATGTTGCCAGGCAACATTACTGAACGTTTGCAGTGAGACACAGGACGTCTGTGCACTACTGAGGCTGCTATTGTTGTTGCCCAATGCACAATCCCTTCTGTAAAGTGTATATTTGCATTAGATAGGAATTTTCCAATATTAAAAGTATGGCTAATATCAGTAAGCTTAGAATTATTTTAATATTAATGGATGGTAGCTAAATAGATGACATTATAAATATGCATGAATTATTTTGTCAACAAAAATAAATAAATAAATTGTAATTCATTCTATAAATTAATTTAGACATTACAAGATTATAATGTACAATATGAAAAATTAAAAATTTACATAACAGTGATATTACATTATATGTGTCTTAAATAAATGGAAAGATCTTTAAATGAGTGTTAGATGACAGCAAATATAAAATATCCCATATCAACCAATACATCCAATATAAAGTGTATTAAATAAAAAAATGAAACTAACTTAATTTGGGGTCAGTATGATTTTTTTTGATTGCTTTTATTCAGCAAGAACACGATTGATCAATAGCAACAGTAAAAACTTTTATATTGTTTCTATTTCAAATAAAAATAACTTTTGGTAACACTTCAGTTAAAGTCTTTATGTATAATGCATTATAATGGCTGTTTAGTCACCTGCAGCTGATTACAAGAGTAAATGCATTCCAAAACAAAGAACCATGTTTCCATAGTTAACCTCAAGCACACTTTTTCTTTCTCCCTCTCTGTGTCCTGTGGTTGTCAATGTCTGCACACACACACACACACTCCACTTATGTAACATCCCCAGTTTCATGGACCACCCTGAGCTCTGTTGTCCTCCCCTAAAAAGAGCAGCCGAGTTGTTTTGAGGTGTTTTGGCCCTACCCAGCACTTTCCTTTAATGTGTATTTAGCACATGCTCTGACTCCACTCCCTCCATACTCACATGTCAGGGCAGAATACTACGAGAACACCGTCAAACTCACTCACATGCTGCTCCAGGTTGTTTACCATCTACTGGCTGCTGGTTGGCTGAGTCACTCTGGCTGTTTTTAAACACACAGACTGCTCACTTTCGTGTCTGTTTTAAAAAAGATACATGTGCATTGGTGCAAATATGGCCTACGAAATCTGGTGCACAAAAACGGAGATCTGCAGACTTGTTGTATAGACGGCTATCATCAGGAATATTTGTGCAAGCCAGTATTATGTAAGATCTATTCCAAAAGGTGCATAGCATGAATAACTTTAAAAAGCATTGCAAAACGTGCACTTAAAGCTGAAGTGTGCAGGGTTTTTGTTGCTGTTGTTTTTTAAGTTAAGATTAAAGATAAACCAATAATCGGTTCGACCAATATTTTTCACAGATACTTCAATATCAGTTCACAACATTGCAATTTAAACAAAGTATCAACAAAAAGCATCATCATATATTATATATTCAAGCTTACATTGTTACAAAAATAGTTGAAATAATATTTGAGCTAAATTATTATAATTAGTGCCGTCAAACGATTAATCGCATCCAAAATAAGTTCGTTTACATAATATATGTGTGTGGCGTATATTTATGTATATATAAATACACACACATGCATGCATACATTCCAGAAAAATAGGTTGTTTATATATTAAATATATTTATTTATAATATAAATTATATGAACATAAATATAGACGTAAATATTTTCAAAATATATACTGTATGTGTGTGTATTTATGTATACATAATAAATATACATAGAATACACATACATATCATGCAAACAAAAACTTTTGTGATTAATCGCGATTAATTGTTTGACAGCACTAATTATAATTATTCATATTATTCAAATATTTGTAAACAATGTTCATATTGCAGTAGTCTAATACTTAAACCATTATTGTGCAGAAAAACAAATCAGTAATATCATAAAATAAAGTACACATATATATATATATATATATAGCAGTCAACATTTGAAGTGGATCAAAACCTTTAATCAAAGTTGTCCTAAAACCTAAAACAAAATGTGTTCTTGTCTTAGGACAACTTTGATAAACTTTTTTGATCCAGTTCAAATGTTGACTACTGTATATATATATATATGTATATATATATATATATATACATACATGTATATATGTGTGTGTGTGTGCGTACACACACGTCATATTTTTTTGTACTTTATTTCTGATATTTTATTGATTTGTGAAACCTATTTGAAAACAATCATTACTTTTGCAAGTAATTTAATCATGTAGAATTTGCACGCTTCAACATTTATGCACAAGGGCCTTCAAAATGCCCAGAGTTCGCACATAAAATAAAATAATATAAAATAATAAAATAAAATAAAAATAGGTGGGTCAGATGTTCATGTGACATTTCCACTTGCTTACAACAGCTCAGTCAAGCACATAGCTATAATAAACAGATCGGCATCAATGCAGAGTAACATTTTGTCTTTATTTTATTTCATCTACTTTTTCCGATATCATCATTTTTAAACAGCAATATCCACAAAATATTAACAGTGTGCAAGAAAACATGATTTATGGCACATCCGAGAAGAACAATTACAAAAAATAGATATATTTCTTCATAATCAAGGCAGAAAGATACATTTGCATACACAGGAAAAAACACAAAGTAATGGGACAGGCTGAGATTGAAATCTACTGGCTAAGGACTCAGCTACAGATATTACCCACACAAAGCCTAAATCTCACCTCTCATGTTCATGAAAGAGCTCGATGGTGTGTGAAGTCGAACAACATTTGGGAATGAGGAATTGAGGTTAAGGTATCACGGCCTCCTCAGCACCTTAAGTGTTCTCGCTGTGCGAATTAGAAACGGACATGCTCCCTCATCCTGACAACAGGTCTCTCAACGTAGAAAGCCGCGAAATGATTGCGGAGACTTTAGCATAACGTTACTTCAGGTGAACGCTATACTTTGGAGCGCAGTGTATCCCAACACCGTGAGTCAAGAGGGTGGAGAACTCAAGCTAACAAGCTAACTTAGCTTAGCTGACTTTCACAGTGTTTGCTCCAGTGTAATACCATCAAACGTGGTACAGCAAGTTTGTTTGGTGGCTAGTCAAAAAAACGTTTGTAGCGCTAGCTTTATTTTAGCACTAGCTCGGCGCATTTGAGCACTTCACACGTGTCCAGAAAGGCTTCATCCTAATGTGGACTGCTAAGTGACTCTTCCTTTGTGATGGAAAAGTGAGAGTTTCTAACTTAACACTTGAATGGATTCAAATATAATCTTTTTATAATCCTTTTTATAGAATACGGTTTATCTCCTGAAGTGTCCATCTTTCTCTAGTTATTTTGCAATGCATAAGCCACTACACTGCTCAGGCTTAACAGGAAGTGATGTCGCTGGAGCAGCTTTGTCCACTGATGGGCAGCAGCGTGATTTTGTCGATCGCTGGATGAGTCAGAGCACTCGTGACCCCCACAAGCCTTAGTCATTCTTAATACAGGAGCTGATGACAGCATCCCGTGGGCCGCGAGGAGCACAGGCCCCCTCTGTCCCACTACGAGCCCCTATTTCCTGCACTATGTTGTTATTTTCCAACATTTGAAGCGGGACAATGGGGGAATTCTGGTTTTAGCACTTAGCTGAATACTGTGAGCGACTGTTTGGAGACAAAACCGTCACTCCAAAAGATTGTGCATCATGTGCTGGGTGCACATTGGACATTCAGAGTTGTGGTTTGACCTTGTCCCTCATCTTTTGCATGTGACTGCTCAGGCTTATGGGCCTGTTGCATAACACTGCACATCATGCCCTTTAGATAGACTAAACAACACAGACCACCTCGTGAAACGAGCCTCGAACAACGCCTTAAGCACCTTGCGTGGGCATTGTGTCAACAATCCATTCCACATTCCCTCGCAGGGAGCAGGTAACCTAATCACATGTACAAGCACTGGAGCCGTCCATCAGTTCCTTCCTTGCTTAAAGAGGACAAACTGAATGGTTAAATATGAATGATGGAAGAAACGGAAATATTACACAAAGATTACAAAAAGATAAAACATCCACAAAAAAATGAATGCGCTTTAGTTATCAAACACTGTACAGTATCATACTCAATGACCAGATTCCATGTTTCCATAGAAAGAAGAAATTGGAACAAAACAAATCCAAACAGCTATTCTCAAAGTTAACACCTCTGAACATATCCAAAAGAAAGTTTATACATTTTTTTCCGTCTGTATGGATTTTACAATCAAGTTTGGTTTCAGAGAAAAAAAAATTGGACTTTGCAGGGGCTCCGACTTCAAAATGACTCAATTTTATAGGGCATGTCCGAGCCTGAGCTATATTAGGATCATAAATATTCATTATGATTTAATATATTTGATACCACAAATACCTCAAATAATAGGGCTCATTTTTTTATACCGAACTGCACTTTAGGAGGGAACTGGGAAGGATATTATTAGGTAAATATATTTTCTGCATTGTATAAAATTATTCCTTTATAACTTAGTGTTTGAGGATTCTGAAATATAGTATAAACACTAGAAAAAAAACTAAAGCATTAAGCCTAATGAGTTTTTTTAATCGATGAAAAGAAAAACTACAGCTCACAAACGGACTGAGAAGAGAGAGAGAGAGAGAGAGAGAAAAAAAAGTAAAAATATTGGCAACTCTGGTTAATGTCTTGAATCCCTTTGTAAAACATGAAATGTGCGGTTGTGCGAAAGGTAAGCAATTTTGGCCATACAAATCTAAAATGAACCTTTAGCTTGCAGATTCGACGTAACAATGCAGGGTTAATACCGAAAGGATATTATTAGGTAAATATATTTTCTGCATTGTATAAAATTATTCCTTTATAACTTAGTGTTTGAGGATTCTGAAATATAGTATAAACACTAGAAAAAAAACAAAAGCATTAAGCCTAATGAGTTTTTTTAATCGATGAAAAGAAAAACTACAGCTCACAAACGGACTGAGAAGAGAGAGAGAGAGAGAGAGAAAAAAAAGTAAAAATATTGGCAACTCTGGTTAATGTCTTGAATCCCTTTGTAAAACATGAAATGTGCGGTTTTGATAAAGGTAAGCAATTTTGGCCATACAAATCTAAAATGAACCTTTAGCTTGCAGATTCGACGTAACAATGCAGGGTTAATACCGAACAAGCGTTTACCACAGTGTGACTGGGCTAGCCAGCTAGTCAGTCGGCATAATCATGACTGTCTTCCTCTACTCTCCACCATCACCTATGGTAACAAGGTCAGCCGCTGCACTGAAAAACATGCTGGAGTATCTCTTAGTCTCTGTGTAATCTTTTGAAATAGTTTGTTGAAATTCGAAATCTGCCACTTCCTGTTAAGTACGTCTATATGCATGAATTTAGACAGGCGTGCTGTGCAGATTCATTCATATAGATTCACTCAACGCCGGGCTACATGACGCTAGGTATTCAGATATTGCCCCTTTTTGTTTTTACCGAGAGAGAGTGATATTTATTTTCTGTAAAATACTGTGGGTCCCAGGTAAAAAGAAGTGTTGGACTGGATTGCCCATTGACTGGGGATGGGCAGCGGTTAAAGTGAGACTGGGAGAGCTGGCCTAGACAGAGTAGCTATAGAATGATGCAAGGCTTCTTGTCTTTGAAAGGATTCTCTGAGGTGGGAACCCCCACCAGCAGAGGGTCACTGCGGGCATGCTGCTCACAGTAACTCATGAGGTCTGCAGCAGCCTTAGACACCTGGGAAAACGACAGAGAGAGAGGAAGAGAGAGAAATGGTGATACAGAGAGAGAAAATCGGTTAATTGTAAATGGTTTAACATTTCATTATATGCAATTTTACTGTAAAACACTATCAAAAACAAATTTATACATCAGGGCATTTTGTGTTACATTTTCTGTTATTTAGTTAATGCTTACTGCATTATTTTAGTGACGTGTGTTAAAACTGATGAACTGTGTATGACCCTGTGAATAGTCTATATATGAATATTAGTCATGATTTATTATGGACAGGGCAGTTAAGATAAACTCTGATTCATCATATGGCTTTCTGTTGTGCCACCGTTATTATTATGGTGGTTCATTTTAAAAGGATAGTTCACCCAAAACTGAAAATTCTGTCATCATTAATTTGTAACAGATCGGCCAGGCTCCGCCACCACCCAATCACAACGATCCCTCTCACCTGAGTTCTAAGCACCCACACCTGTCACCAATCAAGCACCTCATTTCCAGCCTGCATAAAAGCACACACCTCAAACACCCTCACTGTCCGGTCTCGTATACACGTAGAGGACTCAATGACTTTGCTACTGATTACCTTTGAATACTTCTTGCATTACTTACCTCCTGTGTTCCTCCTAGTGTCTCCTTGTCTCTAAGTGTCTCCTGTATCTCCTAGTTCCCGGATCGCTGAGGTGTGTGCTTCCCCCGGATACCTTCCAGGCTCACTCAAGCAAAAGACTCGGATTACTCCACTCTCCATATCCTCTGCACTCTCTCACGGACCTTTCCCTCACCCTCACTTCCTCCGGACTCAACACCAGTACTCCCTGTGACCAAATAAACTGTTTTGTATAAAACTAACCTGTTGTGTCAAACCTATTCCGTAACAGAAGACCTGACCAACACAGACGGCACAGATGAGTCACCCCGATCCTTTCCAGGAGCTCGTAGACTCGCTACAGCGAGTGCTACGAAATCCACCGGCACCGCCGCCATCACCACCCATCACCTCATCCATCCCAACCAGCACTTCTTTGCCTACCATCATCGCTAGTCCCATGGCTCGACCGGCGCCCTACTCTGGTTCGGTGGAGGAGTGCAATGGATTCCTCCTCCAGTGCAATCTCACCTTTAAGATGCAACCGCACTCATATCCCACCGACACCTCTAAAATCGCTTTTATTATCTCCCTGCTAACAGGACCTGCACTGCAATGGGCGGAAACTATCTGGGCTCAGGCCAGCCCCGTCGTTCAAGATCTGCAGAACTTCCTGGTGCATTTGAAAAGTTCATCCAACTGTCCATCCGATGCTCGAGCCGCATGCAGTCCTGTCTAGCAGCCATACCTGTCCACGCCACAACCTCCTGCCTCCGCCGACCAGAGCCCAGTTATCCTCCAGAACCAGCGCCAGAACCCATGATCGTGGAAAAGCAACGATTATCGGCCGCTGAGCGGCAGAGAAGGCTGACCCGGGGTCTCTATTTGTACTGTGGAGCTCCAGGGCATATGATCTTGGCATGCCCCCTGCGTCCCCCATGTCCCGTGGTGAGTGTGATTCAACCTGATATGATTAAGATGGAGCCCCTCACTACCTGTGTAATGCTTACTGCCTCTGATGTCTCTATTTCAGTATCAGCCCTTATCGACTCCGGGTCAGCAGGAAACTTCATCTCCCGCGACCTCTGCAGCCAGCTCAAATTACAGGCTACCGCCACTGAAACAGTTTACCAAGTCCAGTCGATAACTGGAACGCCACATGTTCGCTATCGTGTGGGACCCATCACTCTTCGTCTGGGCCTTCTTCACTCGCAGGACATTCATCTTCTGGTTCTGGAGGGATGTACTGCGGACATCATCTTAGGGCGCCCGTGGTTGGTAAACCACAATCCCATTCTATCCTGGAAGACGGGAGAAGTCCTGAAGTGGGGCAAGGATTGCTTCCCAGACTGCTTCCCCGGGACTCCCTCTCCTCCAAAGAAACTCCCCGAGGCCCTTTCCGTGAATTCCACCTCCATTGAGAAGCAATCCTTGGAAATTCCAGTCTGCTATGCCCCCTTCAGAGACGTGTTTTTTCCTAACCGAGCCTCCCGCTTACCACCACATCGGCCATGGGACTGCATCATCGATCTCATTCCGGGTGAGCCAGTGCCTCGTGGAAAGGTCTATTCCCTATCGCTTCCTGAGCAGAAGGCCATGGAGGAATACATCAAGGAGGCGCTGGGTCAAGATTACATCCGTCCATCTAACTCCCCTGCTGCATCAAGCTTCTTCGTGGCCAGGAAGGAGGACGGAGGCTTGAGGCCCTGTATCGATTACCGAGCATTGAATAATATCACAGTCAAGTTCCGATATCCTCGTCCCAAGTGCCCTTGAGCATCTCCGTGGGGCCACCATCTTCACTAAGTTGGACCTCCGCAGTGCTTATAACCTCATCTGAATACATGAGGGGGATGAATGGAAGACTGCCTTTGTGACCCCTACGAGTATCTGGTCTGCCAACGCCCCCTCCATATTCCAGGATTTAATGCACGAGGTGCTCCGGGAGTTTCTCCATCAGTTCGTCATTGTATACATAGATGACATCCTCATCTACTCCCGGAGTCAGGCCGAACATCGCCAGCACGTTGCGGAGGTCCTCCAATGCCTGAGAGGACACCACCTATTCCTCAAGGCTGAAAAGTGCTCCTTCCACCAACCCACAGTGCAATTCCTGGGGTATAACCTTGACCATACCGGTATCCAGATGGACGAGGGGAAGGTGGAAGCTATAACCTCCTGGCCAGAACCCACCACGATTAAAGAGCTCCAACGATTCCTGGGATTTGCCAATTTTTACCGTCGCTTCATTCTTGGCTACAGCAGGATCACCAGCCCCCTCACCAACTTACTCCGAGGGAAACCCAAGTCTCTGTCCTGGACTCCCGCGGCCTTAGAAGCCTTCTCTCTCAAGAGAGCCTTCAGTAGCGCCCCACTCCTAGACCATCCAGATCCCGACCTCCCATTCGTTGTGGAAGTGGATGCCTCCACTACAGGGGTGGGGGCAGTGCTGTCCCAACAGCAGGGGAACCCAGCCAGACTCCACCCATGTGCCTTCTACTCACGGAAGCTCAGCCCGGCGGAAATTAACTATGACATCGGCAACAGAGAACTCCT